AGACATAAATTAAATTGGCTTAAGACGCTCACAGAGTAAGCAATATCTGGACATGTTACTGTAAGATAATTCAGTTTGCCCACTAACCTTTTATACATCTCAGGATCATCAACTAGCTCACCACCAATTGAAAGTTGCAAATTAGGAGTCATTGGAGCACTATGGTTTGGCACCCAACTTTCCAGTTTCCTTCAGTAAGTCAAGGACATACTTCCTTTGAGATAAGAAGACGCCTCTCTTACACCTAGACACTTCAATACCCAAGAAATACTTCAATAATCCTAAGTCTTTTGTCTGGAACTGAGTCTGGAGAAATGACTTGAGTGATGTAATGCCGGCTGAATCACTCCCTGCAATAACAAAACAATGTCATCAACATAAACCACAAGTAGAATCAAACCAGTCTTAGTACTTCTGAAAATTACAGAATGATCAGAAGTACTCTTTTGCATGCCAAATTGATGTACCACATTGCAAAATCTACCAAACCAAGCTCGAGGACTCTGTTTTAGGCCATAAAGAGATTTTTAAAGTTTACACACTTTACCCGACTCCCTTTGAGCAACAAAGCCTGGTGGTTGCTGCATTTAAACTTCTTCCTGGAGATCTCCATGAAGAAAGGCATTCTTAACGTCCAGCTGATGTAAAGGCTAGTGAAAAGTAGTTGCTAAAGAAATGAACAAACGAACAGAAGACAATTTGGCGACATGAGAAAAAGAATCAGAATAATCAAGGCCATAAATTTGAGAATAGCCCTTAGCAACTATTCGAGCCTTGAGACGAGCAACAGACCCATTAAGATTCACTTTAACGGTGAAAACCCACTTACAACCAATAGCTTTCTTACCTGCCGGGAGAGGCACAAGATCCCAAATACCATTAGTTTCTAAGGCAACCATCTCCTCTTTCATTGCTGCACACTAACCAGGATGGGACAAAGCTTGGAGGGACAAAGCTTGGACAACAGTTTTAGGGGGTAGAAACTAGGTTACTTACAAAACAAGAAGAAGAAGAAGAAAGATGATCATAACTGACAAAAGAAGAAATAGGATAGGTACACTTGCATTTACCTTTTCGAAAAGCAATGGAAAGGTCAAGGTCTGACTGGGGAGTGGATGGCATAGGCTCAGGTTGAGTGGAGTGAACCGGATCTTCTGTTGAAGCGGTAGGTGGAGGACGTGAGTCAATAGTTCTTGGTCTCCTAGAATAAACCTGTTCAAAATGAGGGCGAGCAGATACTGGTGCAGGAGTGGGAATAGGAGTAGCAGACGCTGTAGCAAGAGCAGGTGAAGTTTAGGAATAGGGGCAGGAGCAAGAGAGTTATGAAATTGTTAGATAGCGTAGACTAAAAGCTTAGCATCCTCCCCCTCACTCTTATATCAAGAAGAAGGAAAAAATGGAGTATTCTCAAAAAATGTGACATCTGCAGAAATACGATAACGGTCAAGATCGGGACAGAAACAATGATACCCTTTTTGATGCCGAGAATACTTAAGAAAAACACAACGAATGGACTTTGGATCTAATAATTGTGACAAACATCCACGAACAAAACAAGTACCAACCAAAAATGCGAGGTTCAATCGGGAATAGAAGCTTATAAGAAACAAAAACATATAAAGAATTGCACCATTAAGCCACAGAAGAAGCATGCGATTAATAAAAAAACATGCAGTAAGAAGACAGCATCAGCCCAAAAATCTGAGACCTCCATTGAATAGAAGTGCCCAGCAACCTTCAAAAAGATGTCAATTTTTTCTTTCTGCCAACCCCATTTTGAGAATGGTAGTATACAACACAATATGTTGATGGAGAAATACCATTCTGTGACATAGTAAATTTGAAGAGACTAGGATAAAAGATTGGAAGGAACTAGATAGATATTCTTTAGCATTATCACTGTGCAATATGTGAACAGAGGTATTAAATTGAGTTTTAATCTCAGCACAAAAGGAGCAGAAAATAGAGAATATTTCAAAACGAGTTTTCATGAAAAATAACCAAGTAACACGAGAATAATCACCCGCAAAAGTTATAAAATATCGAAAGCTAGTTTGAGAAATAACAGGACATGGACCCTAAACATTGGAATGAACTAACTCAAAAGGGGATGAAACCCGTTTACTGACTCGAGGAACTAAAGATAAATGATGATGTTTGGCAAATTGACAAGATTCACATTCTAAAATTGACAAATACTGAAACGACGGACACAACTTCTTTAAAGTAAACAATGAAGACAATGAACCTTAAGAGGAGATAGAGCACCAGCACAAGCCAGCACCAGCACAAGCCAGAGATAACGAAACGTGTTCATCCAGAAGATAAAGGCCACCAAACTCACGTCCTCTACCAATAATCCGCTTCGTCAAAAGATCTGGAAACACACAATATGTAGGATAAAATTTAACACAACAATTCAGTATATGAGTAATTTTGCTAACAGACAATATATTAAACGAAAAACGAGGCAAACAAAAAACAGAAGATAATGAAAGAGATGGAGATGGGATGGGATTGGCGGTGCCAATACACTTGACAGAAGATGTGGACCTATCAGCTAGAGTAACATGACGATTAAATTGTTCAGGTTCTTTTAATAAGGATAAGAGACTAGGGTTACCTATCATGTGATATATGCAACCAGAATCAATGACCCACTCTAATGAGGTAGACATAAGACATGAAGGAGGAGTATCTGAATTGGCAATAGCAGTAATTGAGGAATCAGTAGACTTAAAAGAACGGTATCTAGAGAGCTCAGTATACTCCGCATCAGAAATTGTTACAGTGTTGTCAGAAGAAGTAACTGTAGAATCTTGAGTGGCCATATTTACCCTTGGTGGCTTATTTATCAGTTTCTTGTAATACCGTTTATTGTGACTAGGTTCACGGCAATAATGGCAGATGAGAATGCTTACCTCCCGAGTAATTGGTCCATTACTCCATTACTACAGTTATTTCCTCCTCTTCCTTTGTTTCCTGGCTTCCTAGCTACCTGATGACGACTCACAAGGGCACCATTATCAGAAGGGGAAGGGGTATGAGAACCTTCAGTACGTAGCAATCTAGCAAAAGTCTCCAGAAGAGAGGTAACATCACTGCTTGAAAGAACCTGTGATTTGACAATTTCAAAAACTGGAGCAAGACCTGCAAGAAAACTCATCACAGCTCATCACAGCCATTTGTTCTCGCTGAGTCTGTTGAACCTTAACATCGGGACTAAAAAGCAACAAAACATTAAGTTCCTCATAAATCTTCTTAAATTCCATGAAATAAGCTGTAAGGGGCTTATCTTGCTGGTCAGTCCGATAAAATCCTTTGTAGACCTCATACATACGAGATTGATTACCTTTTCCCGAGTATAAGAATTCAAGATATTCCATTAATTCTTTAACGAACTCACAATGATTGATTAACCCAACCACTTCACTGTCAATAGAATTTTGAATCAGTAGAAATAACTTAGCATCTTCCCTGAGCCGACGTCGCCTAGTGTCACCAGTTGGTGGATCATCAATTAGATGATCATCTTTTTCAACACTCTGCAAATAAATTCTGATTGTCTTACTCCAATCTAAATAATTAGTTCCTTTCAATTTATTTATGTTCTGTAATTTTCATTGCTGGGATCAAATTTATAATAGTAGTTTAGAATCTGTAGTTAGTAATCCATTATAATAAAAACGAAACACCCACCAGAACGCCAAGAAAGAGACAAAAAAAAAAATAAAAAAAAAAGCCTTTTTACAACGCAGAACAAAAAAAAAAAAAAAAAAAGCCTTTCAACGCAAACAGGAGCAAAAGGTAACTTGAAACACTAAAGTAATTTTGATAAAACTGAGAATGTCCCTACCAAAACTTCGTCGGATCGAAAAAACAACCATTTGAGTTGACTGCTGACCTAGAATCGAAGCCAGAAAACAATTTTCAATTGCCGAAAACAACTGGACGCGCTGCCACGAGCCAGTGCGTGGTACTATGCAAAAAAATAAATCAGCGCGTGAGGCCGACGCGCAGGGAATCCGGTGTCTGAATTTTAAGGGAATGCCGGTCGGCAGCTTGAGAAGCTCCTGGGGTAGGCGGTGAGACAAAACAATGACCCTAGAATGGTCGCCAACACTGATAGCCACCAGAATCTTCAATGCAAATGGGAAAAAATCAAGTTTAAAGAGCTACTGGCTCTGATACCATGTAATTTTAATGTGGAAAAATATTTTCTTACTTTTGATTCATCAATAGGGACACATATATACACACATACAAGATACTATAAATCTATTATGAATCTAATTCCTAATAGAGTTCTATTTACAACTAATTCTTAACACATACTAATTGCCTTTACTAAGAATATTTCAGAATATCTCTAATATCAAGAAAAAAATTTTGACTAATGACACCTCATTATCTATTTTTTTAATTTGCTGAAAGAACACAATGGGTTACACAACGAGGGTAATTCTCCATTTGATTCACCAATAGGAATTTTTTTTTTAAATGTAGTTCAATTTAGGGGCATATTTTTCATTATTATTTTGCTATCACATGATAAGTTGCATATATTTTTAAAATATTTTACATCTAAATTTAATTTAAATTCATCAATACAATAAAAATATATTTAATAAAAATAAATTTCTATTCAATTATTATTATTATTATAGTTTAGGATTTTAATCAGAGTCTTTTAATTAGCTTTTTTTTTTAATTTTTTATTATAAATAGTAATTTTCTCTTTACTCATCAAATTAATGAAAACTTTTATTGTCGAGAGAATTCAACTTTAAAATTTCGTACTTCTCATATTAGTGAGAAGACCAACTAAATCACATTTTTTTACCTTTTTTTTTATTATTATGTCACTTGCTTATGAAAATTTAATATTCTTCTAATTTTCGAGTATTATGTTTACTATATTTTGCATGGTAATTCTTATTTTTAATGGTCAACATACTCATCACAATGGGTCTAACCGTAGGTTTAGTTCGGTTGCAATAGGTGTGCTAAGCGTGATCCAACCATCCCAACCTCATTTTAGCAGGGAGTCCTACATCGAAAAAAGAACACCATTACCAGAATACAAAACGTAGCCGATTCTGATTACTATATACACCCTGAGCTTTCAATTGTTTCAACGGTATCTATTTTTCCATCTTGATGCCCGTTTCAATGGAAGCTCTCTCGAGTTCTCTGCTAATCATTTCACTGGTATCTGTCTCTTCATTTCATTTCACTTTCTTTAATAGATTATTGCCGTTTTCCTTATAAATTTTTATTCAATTGCGTTGTAATTTCTTGATTTCAGGTTCTGTTTCATGTTGTTCTTGTGGGTGCAGAGTCATCAGTCAATCCACCTCTGTAAGATCGATTGTGAATTTAATTTAGATCTTTGATTTCTGAAAAAGCTAAAAAGAGTAGAATTAATTGATGTGATTTTACTATTTTTACCAACTACATGAGTTAAGACAATGCAAATGGAGCATTAATAACTAGAAGAAATAACTTTAGTAGTAGATTTATGTCATTTCAGGTGGGTCAAGTGGTTGAGAGATACATACTGTTGTTTGTTCAAGAAGGGATGAACTGTTGATTGCCAATTAGTTTTATTATTGTTGACCCTATTGCCTATTTCTTAATTTCAGTCAAAGAGAGCAAAGAACTTATCGGCCGTTGTATGATTGTGAGGGATGTGATGATGGAAAGGTTTGGATCTAAACTTTGCTTCCTGTTCCTTTGCTAAAGATTGCTTTTGGCCTTTAATTTTAATTTCTGCTTTGCCAATCTTTCATCATTGGAAATAAAATTATTACGGACCCATGAAACTATTAAGAGATGAAAAAATGTGCAATAGGATTTTTTTTTTTTTTTTTTGAAATTTCAATTTATTGTTTCTGCGTGACATAATGCCTTGGAAGTAAAACCTTCCTGTAATGATATTACTGTAATGTACCTTTTCCTTTCCTTTTTGAGAGCTTTTATTCAAGTGTATTTGATATCATCTAGAGAGTGCTCAACTTATAAATCTTAGATTTAAAAAAAAAAATTGATTAAGCTTCAAGGCTTGACCTCCTATTTGTGATCATAGTGCTTGTTGTTTCACTTGGTTTTTACATTGTAAGGTGGCTTGGACATTTAGATTCCCAATGTGGTCTCTTTGGGTAAAATTGACTTGTTGAGATCTCCAGAGAATAGAGACTCTTCTGGGTCCAAATGGAGAGGTTTAGTTAAAATAAATGCTAAAGTTCTTCAGTTTGAGTTTCTTTTGTGGTTTTATGAAGTACTTGGAAGGAGAAGAATTTCAACATTTTCAAAAACTAGAACTTGTACTTCAATCTATTGTGGTGAAAGGTAGTTTTCTTGGTTTCTTTGTGGATTTGTGCTTCAATTCAAGTGTTGTATTTTCGTTTTCAATTTATGGTACAATTATATCAAAATGAGTCACTTGATAGGTTGTAGTTCCTCCTTTTTCATAATTCTTTCCATCCCACCTTGTGGGATTTGCAATAGACTGTTTTCATTTTTTTTTCTTTTTTTGGTATGTTAATCCTCACCGTTTTTAAATGTTCTTAACTTGATTAGGGTTATGCCAATTTATCTTGCATTATGTGTTATTTGTTGTTCTATGTTGGATATGATTTGGATGACCATTATCTCCATATTTCATATCCTATCTTTCTTAGTAAAACCTCACTCTGGTCTTTTTAATCAAATAATAAAAGTATCAACTTAATTGAACTAAACCTTGATCCCATACTAGTTGGAGTCAGCTATATGGATTCATTTCCTTCATTCCATGTGGTTTAAAGTTATATCTTCATCCTCAGAAAGATCTACAATCAGTAACTCCTTACTGCTGTCCCTGGTGTCATCCTAGGTTTGACTTTATTCCCTGAGCTCCAATAACTTCAATGTGCTCATCCTTCTGTATTGATGCATTTGTAACACCACCACTGCCATCACCATGTACTTTAATAGCATTTTGTTTAAAATTAAATAGCTTGGAAGTACAGGCCATAGACAATCTGTGCCAAAATTGTGAACATTTGAATTTTATACTTCAACTGGAGCTGAAATTTGACATGGTCTATGGGGAAATATAGTTTTATTCAATGTTGTAGCATTTTGTTGGGAAATTTAATTTCATGGAGTATGTAGCGCACCAAATGTTAACTTACCCCTATGAGTGAGTATCAAAACAATTTGTTGTTTATCAATCAACTAAAATGATATTATAGGAGATAGATTTTTGAAGTGAGATCCAAGTTCTGTTGGTAGAGGCCCCTCCCTGGATGTGTCTATAAAAAAATGATGGAAAAACTGAAAACAGAAAAAAAAAAAAAAAGAGCCAATTTTGGCGTGAGTAAAGGTTTAAGTGCAAGAGCTGCTTCTCCAAAATGAGTAGAATTTTGAAAGGAATATGTAGCTAGGACCACATTGAGTTTTAAATTTCATACAGCATTTGTAATTTTTGACTCCGGTATTACCTGTTACGTTCCCCCTTATCTATGGGAGACAATACTAGTACTTTTGGATGAATGCGTGCAAATTTATGCGTTCACTGACCATCTAGCTTAAATCTTGGCTAGCAGGATCTGGATACTCCTTCTGCAGCTACACTTGGAAATCCTCTGGATGAAAAGGTGAGAAGCAACTTTCTTCAGTTGACAGCTGCTAATAGTGATGCTTATATGTGTATGTTTCATCCAGGATATTGACATTATTGCAACATACAGTGACACATCTGGCAACATTAGAATTAGGAGGGTCCAAGTGAAGGACCTCTCTGCTTCCTGGGTCCTGGAAAACCCAACGGATAAAGGCCATGATCAGCCAAAGACTTCCCAGGTAATACCAAAGTATTTTAGTATTGTGTTCTCAATAGAGCTGGCAGTTACTTCAAAAGAGCATCTATATATTGTCAGGTTGAAAACAGTACCTAAAAATTTTGGGAAGTATAATGGTCGAATGATAAATTGTAATTTTAATCCTTTATTTTGTTTGATTTAGTTTATGGATGAGAACAGGTGTTTTGTTTTCAAGTTAATGACTTCCACACAGGCTTTTTTATCCTCCTTTCTTCTCACAGACTTTGAGAGACTCATTTCAATCTGATTTGAGATTTCAAGATAATGTTCAAAATTCTGAGATCCACAGTCGTCCTAAGTTGCCAATAAGCCCAGTGAAGCTGCTGCGCCAGGTGAACTGACAATACCTTTACTTGTGTTACTCTATGTTTTGGGTAAAGTTAATTTGGTTGTATGACATTTTCTTGCACTTCAGTTGAAAAGGCGAAAAAGGAGGGAACTTCGGACCGCATTGCTAATTCAGCAAGATAAAGAAGCTGAAAACCGGACAAGAGCAGCTGCAATAAAACGGTCCGAAGACATGGACACCACCGTCCAGGAAAAGTATAGTATATGGAGGAGAGACTATGAAAATCCAAATTCTGATACTATGTTGAAGCTCATGCGGGACCAGATTATAATGGCCAAAGCATATGCAAATATAGCAAAATCTAATAATGAAACCAGTCTTTATGAATCACTTACAGAACACTCTAGAAAAAGTCAACATGCTATTGGAGAAGCTACATCAGATGCTGAGCTTCATCCTAAGTATATCTGCTATGTCCTTTCTTATTTTGCTTCAGTCAAATTTCATTTCTTGATATTCATATAGAAATTCCTTTCCCTTCCTCCAGTGCACTTGATCGAGCAAAAGCAATGGGTCACGCCCTCTCCATAGCAAAGGATCGATTATATGATTGTCCTACTATGTCGAGGAAGTTGCGTGTCATGCTTCAGTCAAGTGAAGAGAATGTAAATGCGCAAAGGAAGAAAAGTGCTTTCTTGATTCAGCTAGCTGCAAAAACAATTCCAACACCATTGCATTGCCTTCCTTTGCAGCTTGCAGCTGACTATTTCTTGCTTGGTCATCAAAATAAAGAGTATCTGAACAAAGAAAAGCTTGAAGATCCTTCTCTTTATCACTATGCCATATTTTCGGATAATGTGCTAGCGACATCTGTGGTGGTCAATTCCACAGTGCTTCATGCAATAGATCCTGAGAAACATGTTTTCCATATAGTTACAGATAAATTGAACTACGCTGCAATGAAAATGTGGTTTCTCATCAACCCACCTGCAAAAGCGACAGTTGAAATTCAGAACATTGATGATTTTAAGTGGTTGAATGCTTCATCTTGTTCTGTTCTACGTCAGCTTGAATCTTCCAGGATTAAGGAATACTACTTCAAGGCAAATCATCCTTCCACCCTTACTGCTGGGTCTGATAATCTCAAATATAGAAATCCAAAGTATCTGTCTATGCTGAATCATCTTCGATTCTATCTTCCTGAAGTATACCCAAAGCTAGACAAGATCCTTTTTTTGGATGATGATATTGTGGTTCAGAAGGATCTGACACCGCTTTGGTCCGTTGATATGCAAGGAATGGTGAATGGCGCAGTGGAAACTTGCAAGGAGAGCTTCCATAGGTTTGATAAGTATCTCAATTTCTCTAATCCAAAGATCAATGAAAATTTTCATCCAAATGCTTGTGGTTGGGCATTTGGCATGAACATTTTTGACTTGAAGGAGTGGAGAAAGCAAAATATAACTGGAATATATCATTATTGGCAAGATCGGGTATGTATTCAGCCTCCTATTCCTTCCAATCACCTAACTTATTTTCCTTATCCAAGATTTCATCATGCAAGGTCTTTTTTTTTTGAAATATCAATCATGGTGATTAGTACCACAAGTAAATTTTTCTTTTTGCTTTTTGGTGCATTGGCAATTTTTTTATGGAAAGAGTGAGAGCTGTAATCGAGTCATGTTGAGCCAATAAAATGCTTTACCCAAACTTTGACTCAACTCCAAAACTAAGTCATCAACTTGAGTGAACTTAGCTTGAATAGGTATTTTACACTTTTACAGTTAGGGAACGCTAAGCATTTTGCACAGGTGATAAAACGTACACTATTACATAATTATATAGAAAGTATTCTTAACTAATATGTGATCAAGTATATTTTGTGAGAATGAGAGGAACATGCAAGGGTTCCTTGCCCATCTACAGCGGCAGCCATCTATGCAATGAATGAGTGAGATGGTTGATGGCTGTAGTGTCTCACTCTTACCAAAATATATTTTCAGTTTCAGGATTTATTTTTTTTCATTTGACAACAATGTCAACAAAATGATTCTGCTCGGTTGTGCATTATGCATTCCACTGGGATTGGAAATCGGATCTCTGATGGTTAACCTTAAATGTACAGAAACATTATCCTTCCTACTTCCATTGTTTGTCAATTTAACTTGCAACTAACAAATGAACTGCTTTGCAGAACGAAGACCGAACTCTTTGGAAATTGGGCACCTTGCCACCAGGATTGATCACTTTCTATAACCTAACCTTTCCGTTGGATCGTAGCTGGCATGTCTTGGGACTTGGCTATGACCCAGCCCTTAACAAAACTGAAATTGATAACGCAGCTGTAGTTCATTACAACGGAAATTACAAGCCATGGTTGGATTTGGCTATTGCAAAGTACAAGCATTACTGGTCTAGATATGTACAGTTTGATAACCCCTATCTCCAACGTTGCAATGTTTTTGAATGATACCACAAGGAAACAACTTCAAAGTGCTTCATAGCTAGTAGAAAATTTTTTCCTCCAGCAATACATAGATAATGATAGTCATTTTTTTTAAAAGAAACATTTTATTTTTAGCTGCATATGTAATATTTTTCTGATTTATTATTGAGCTTTGCCAAATTAATACAAGCCTGGAGCAAATTTGTTAACTATATTGATGTTATACCAATATAAATAAATTTCTTTAACATTGTATTTGACTGCTATACTATGCATTTTTCCTAATATAAAATCCAACACCCACCTTGAGAACTTGTGGATTATGAGATGAGTCTACGTTTGTGAGGGCATATGCTTCTTGGCCATGCGCCTTTCAACGATTCTATCAAATTCAAAGAATTCTAATTGGATTTCGAGAATCAGGGAGTCATCATCTAATGGAAAATGGCAAGAAGTGATTTCACACTACCAAGAAATGAAAATTTTTGAAACTCACCCACCAAATATTTCGCTTTTCCCTTCTGTTCTCAAAGCATTTTCATACATTTCCAGTAAGCATGGGAAATCTTTTCATGCTTGTTTGATCAAGGAGGGACTAGAATCATGTACTTCCATTGGAAATTCTATCATGAGTTTTTACTTTAAGTGTGGCGAGTTGAATGCTGCTATGAGCATTTTTAATTCCATGAGAAGCAAAGATTCAGTTTCTTGGAATATTTTGATTCATGGGTATTTGAATTATGGTGCCTTAGTAGAAGGGTTATGGCTGTTTCCTAGTGCTAGGGTTTCTGGATTTGAACCGAACATATCCACATTGGTCCTTGTAATTCAAGCATGTAACAGCCTTAAAGCAAAGCATGAAGGGCTCCAAGTACATGGTTATATAATTCAAAGTGGGTTTTGGGCCATTTCTTCCATACAAAACTCCTTGCTTTGCATGTATGCAGATGTTGACATGGAATGTGCAAGAAATCTGTTTGATGAAATGCCTGACAGAGACGTCATCTCTTGGAGTGTCATGATTGGTGGTTATGTGCAGAGCCTGGAACCTCAAATTGGATTCCAGATGTTTCAAGAAATGTTACAACTGGGCAAGACTGAACCAGATGGAGTTATCATGGTAAGTGTTCTTAAAGCTTGTGCTAATGCAGTGAACATACGTATGGGAAAATTGATACACGGGTTGTCGATTTGCAAAGGTTTAGATAGTGATTTGTTTGTCAAGAACTCTTTGATTGATATGTACTTGAATTGTCAAGATATTGATGCTGCATTTAATGTTTTCAATGAGATGTCTAATAAGAACAATGTCTCGTGGAATTCTATGCTATCAGGATTAGTCCTTAACGAGAACTATGTAAAAGCTTTATCATTGATTTATTCAATGCAAAAGGAAGGAATTGAAGCTGATGAAGTGACTTTGGTGAATATTCTTCAAATATGCAAGCACTTGGCTTATACATATCAGTGCAAAGCAGTCCACTGTTTGATAATCCGTCGGGGATATGAATCAAATGAATTACTTATCAATTCTCTTATTGATGCTTATGCAAAGTGCAATTTCATTAATCTTGCATGGGACGTCTTTGTTAGGGTAAGGAGAAGGGATGTGGTTTTGTGGAGCACAATGATTGCTGGGTTTGCTTATTGTGGGATGGCAAATGAAGCGATAACTATCTTTCAGGAGATGAATGAGGCAAAAGAAGTGCCTAATGCAATTACAATTGTAAATCTTCTTCAGGCTTGTTCAGTTTCAGCTGAATTGAAAAAGTCGAAATGGGCACATGGAGTCACAATTCGAAGAGGTTTGGCAGCAGAAGTGGAAGTTGGAACTGCAATTGTTGATATGTATTCCAAATCTGGAGAAATACAGGCATCAAGAAAGGCCTTCAATCAAATTCGAGAGAAAAATATAGTAACATGGAGTGCTATGATAGCTGCATATGGTATGCATGGTCTTCCCAGTGAAGCATTGTCTTTGCTTGCTGAAATGAAATTACACGAGCTCAAGCCGAATGCTCTAACCACTCTATCAGTGCTTGCTGCTTGTAGTCATAGTGGATTAATCAATGAGGGGCTCTCCATTTTCAAATCAATGTTCCAAGACCATGGGATTGAACCTGCATTTGAACACTACTCGTGTGTAGTCGACATGTTAGGTCGTGCAGGAAAGCTTGATACTGCAATGGAATTTATTGGAACGATGCCTGAAAAATTTAAGGGTCGTGCAAGTATTTGGGGGGCATTATTGAGTGCTTGTAGAAACTATGGGAATACTAAGCTTGGTGAAATAGCCATCTCTCGTATTATTGAGCTGGAGCCTTTGAACTCTGCTGGATATATATTGGCGTCAAGCATGTATGCCGGAGATGCGTTGTGGGTCGATGCAGCTAGGATGAGATTGTTGGCCAAGGAGAGAGGAGTAAGAGCTATTGCTGGCTATAGTTTAGTGGACGTTGATAGCAAAGCTAGTAGATTTGTTGCTGGAGATAGGTCTCATCCACTAGCAGGTCATATGTACTGTAGGCTTCGTCAATTGCATGACTGTATGAAGATTCATGAAATAACAGATACAGTTTTTGTTGAATACTAGCAATTATCAAAACTTTTTTTTTTTGGCAATAATAGCTTTTGAGCTAACTTTTAGCGTTTCCACTAAATTAAAAAATTACTTTTATTAATTATAGCATTCAGTAAGCTAATCTATATAGTAGCATTTATAGGTCAAGGCAACGTTTAATGAAATGTTATTACAGTAAATGTTTAGCGTTTCATAGTAATTAATAGATAACATTCTACACTTTACTCCTCTTTTTTTTTTTTTTTTTTTACAACATTTCTACCACTTATTTTTTTTTTTTTTTTTTTACAAATTATAACAAGCTCTAATCCTACTTGTAATATAAAACCGTTCTCTTTACTCTTTTGTTATTTTAAATTTAACAATCAATCAAATAGTTCTTATAGCTAACAAAATTAGTTGTTAATTTTTTTACAAAATGCTACATTGACATCTAAAAATTGATTTAAATGCCATATTATTGAGCACTAAAATATCTTGATTTCTAAAAACTAGTTCAAACATTATATCACTGAATATCTTGACTTCTAAAAACTAGTTCAAACATTATATCACTGAGCACTATAAAATAGCGTTGGTAGTTAAAAAGTTGTTGCGCCATATAACTTAATAATAAGAACGTTTATTTCTTTTTTAATTTATCCATAAAGTATCACTAGACTGATATATGGTTGAAAATGAAAACTAAAAGTATCTAAATTATATAATATACTATAGTCTATAAAAGAATGGAGATTTGCACTGTCCACCAGTTTTCCGCTCTAGCACAAATTTTTTATCTACAATTATCTGTATTTTAAAGATTTTTTACCTTTTTTTTAACCATTCTTGTGGGCGTTGAAAAATAGTTTTGCCTATCCTTAGCATTTTTGCTCTTTTGCCTATGTTATATATATGTTTTGGGGCTAGAATTTTCTTTTTTGCTTATTATTTTGTTTTTGTTGGTTTAAAGATATTCAATGGACTAAAACTTTAATTTATATGTAGATTTTTTAAGGTAAATTTATTAAATAAATTCTTCTCGAAATTAATTATTTTTCAATCAAAATAGTCAATTATTTCTAACTAAAATATCAATAATGATGGCGATTATGTTATTTTTATAATATAAATTATATTTTCCTTTTCTCTTTATGAGATCAATGAAAGAAAAATTCTTATAAATATATTTTCTAATTAGTTCTTAGACTTTTAGGGTATTGAATTTTAATGCTTAAATTTATTTCTTCAATAAAATATTTGTGTTATTCTAAACAGTAGATTTTTTTTTTAAAAAAAAGGATAATTGAAAACATTAAATTTGTTAATGAGTCAAAATTTTTTTAAAGTTTATTTATTTTCTTATATTTTTTATTTTAAGTTCTTACTTATATGATTTTTATTTTATTTTTAAATATTCCTTTTGCTTTTGGATTAAAAAAGCTAAAACTTATTTAAATTTTTACTTATATGCTTATTTTATTTTATTTTTTAATTATATCTTTTTTTTTTCGTTTGTGTTAAAAAAAATCTACACTTTCTATAGCTAAACTTATTTGAAATTTAAATTAAAATATGAATTCTAAATATGTGGTTTCATATTATTTTTGAATATGCCATTTTTTTTTTTTTTTTATCATTACGTAATTAAACTATTGTAAACAAGGCATGGAGACTTCTTAGTTCATTATGCTATTACTCTAAGTTTAATTGGTTAATATAAAAAGAGTTGCATTAGTGGTTTTAATTATTTTTTTTTACAAAAAATTTCATCAAATTATAAAATATAAGTTAAAAAAAATAAAAATAAATAAGATAAACTTTTTCTCATAACATATACTTTGATGTGACTTGTTCAAATTCTAAAAACAAATTATGGCATAATTTAAAATTAATTATCTTATTATTGATATAAAAGGAATATTAATAAGTAGTTGGTTCTTAATAACGGAATTAAATCATGGAAAGATCGTGTCATGTTAGACATAACTGCAAATAGGCGGTGTATTATCCACCTTATATGATATGAAACGTTTTCTCGTCTAATTAAGTATAAGTTTTGTTTAATTAATTCATGCAGCTGATAGCTGATTTGTACCAAACAATTATATTATAGGTATTTGGTAAACTTTTTTAATATGATAGAAGTCCAAGCTATTGATTCTATCAGCTATGTTTTAGAGTTTTTTCGTATCTAGCTGATTTGTATTTACATTATAATTAGATTTCATTAACCTCATAAAAATAATTGATAAAAAAATTATTTTTAATTAATATTTTTATTTATATAATACATTAAAATAAAAAAATAATATATTCACCTTAAAATTAATCTACAATCTATAATAGTTAATTTAATTTTGACTAGCATATTAATTTCCCATTGAAATCTAAATTCTATTGGATAAATTCATAAAGCATATTATATACTAAATAAGATATATTTTAAATATGGTATGAATATAAAATCATTAAGGATTTTAATTTTATTCAAATTTTAAAAAAGAACTTTGAATGCTGAAGAAAATTAAACTGTAGTAAATATTTTATTTAATTATTAATTTTTTTATAATTTTATTTGTATTCTATTAATTATTATGTTCAATTTTTTTACTGGAAATTAAATAATAATGAGTATCATTGTTGGTAAATAATAAAAAAAATTATAAATTAAATTAAATAATCAATATTTTTTTAAAAAACTTTTTTTAGAGGAAAAACTGCAGATTTATTCATTGCTTCAAATAGCTGAAGAATCAGCTTGCACAAAAGGTACAATAGGACTTGGACCATCCTCAACCCAAATATAATCCACAGAATAAACAGACAAAGCTAATGACAGTAACTGATGAGCAACCTTGTTGCATGATCTAGGAACATAACTAAAAGAAAAAAAATTTGGAAATTAGACGCTAAGTCGCTAATTCTGCTTAACATGGTTCCCCATTCAGTTGGGGGAAAATTCTTAGAGGCATATTGTCGAACACGTGAGACAGATAATTAGGAGTCTCCAAAGCGAAAATCACAGCATCCGCTTCAACATCTTGGACCTCAAGAATTCCTAGTCTTCTTACACCAGACGCCATCAATCCTCCCTTCCTATTTCGTATCACAAATCCCAGCCCACACCGATTTTGAACTTTCAGATCACCAACATCGCAGTTTATTTTAACCACGTTATCAGCAGGAGGGGTCCATCTTGATTACGACTCAACTACCACAAAGTTCCCAGAGACCATACTTGACATTTGGTAGTCGTAAACCATAGACAGTGCTTGATTTTCCAAAGAGAGGTCCGATTGCTGTCAACAACCACACATTCCTAGCTTTCAAAATGCTCCAAGCCGTTGCCACTACAGTTTCCAGTCGCTCAGACTGAAGAGAATTGACAAGATTAAACAGGAAGTAGATTCTTCCTCCTTGTCCCGGCTAAAACTCTGTTTTATTTTTCACGGTAGAGCTAGAAAAGAAATTTTCTAATCCTAATAATTATTTAAATTGTGAGCATTGTGTACAAAACTTATTTATTTCTGTTTGAACTCCGTAGCTATAGGATTATAAAAACTCTTATTATAGGATTATGATAACTCCAATTTTGTATGAGTGTGATCATGTTAATTGAAAAATTTAGGTTGATTTACATATCTATATGTGCATGTATGGACCGGTTAGTCCATATTATATATATTGTGTAATGTAATTGGGCCTTAGTTATGAAATATTTGAAATGCTGGATTGATAAGACATAGTACAATCATAAGGTTTGTTATATAAAATAATATGAGTTTACTGTTCCTGTGATCCAATTTGATGTGATTGAATTTAATGATTCAAACTTACTACAGGCCTTGAGAGCCTTATGTTTACCTAGGCCATAATGCTTTGGCCCATGGTTTTAGATCCTGACACTTTCATAGGTCCATATTCTCCTTAAATCTAATATATTGACCCAAACCCCGGTCTTTATCTTCATTCCATTCCAAAAACTTCATTCCATTCCCAAAACTGTCCTAACTTATTCTCAATTAGCTCAACCCATTCCTCGCAGGGGAAGTCATATGCACAAATCTATAAAGGAGACTGGAATAACTCCAAGGATGATGGTTGCTTATCCCCTATAACTTGTTTTAGGATAAGAATTTGCTTCTCAAAGTGCGATGGAGAATTATCTAACACATATTGCAGATCTGGTCAATGCTGAACCTAAAATAGAAGGATTTCCTTACTCCAATCTCTCATCACCACTCCATGCTTCGATTTCCAAGCTCTTTGCATTAAATTCATTAAGGCATATCTATTATACGAGTAATCAAACCATAATTTTCCCGCAACATATAACTGAACCTTATTCAGATCTTCAAGACAAGCCTCCTCTGGTATGACAACTACATCCTCATCAAGGCTGACCTGAGTATTAGTTGCCTAACCCTGTCCATCCTCGAACCATAACTACCTGGTATGCTGAATTTAGAACAAAGGGCAAAGGACACAACTTGACGACAAAAAGAGAGAAAAATAAAACTAGAAAAGATAGAGACTCGATAACCCTAATCCTACAGGAATACGAGTTGAAATACAGACGAGACACAAAAACTAGGAAAACCTAAAACCTATGATGGAGACGCGAGGACCATATACTGATACTAGAACGAAAATTATAATGTTTAAAGAACTGGGATGCAAAAGAAACATGAAAAAACAAGACGAAACACTTAGAAGTAGATGATCCTATACGCTAAAAAAACGAAAACCTAATTCTCAGGAGAGAGAATCCTAATTCCCATTGGAGGGAGAAGCAACATGTGCAATACACGTTAGTTGCTTATAAATGGTGAATTACTAAAACATATTTCATAAAGTTAATTTGCTTGCTTAGATTCACTTATAAGTTTTTGGGTAAAGTACTATTTAGTCCTTAAAGTTTCAGCAATTCACCATTGCGTCTCTCTATTTTGGTAAACCTAATAAGTAGTCCACCATCTTTGGTTCCATCAAATAATTTGGTTCCTTCATCCAAAAATTAATCTTTTCACGGTTAAATTTTAATGAAAAGACTATGCTACCCTCTTTTACCCATCTTTTGGGCCCACCATCTTAATCGTCTCGGCCAAATCTCTTTTACTAATTTTTATTAATTTCTTTTGTTATTCAAATTTTCAAAAGAGATTGAAAAACAAAATCTTAAAGAGTTTCAAAAAATAGATAACAATATTTAAAATCAACACACAATTGATTCTTTAAAATAAAGTAAAACAAAATCCATTCTTTATCAAAACCTTATTATTTCCCTCACAACTATCAACAATTTCTGCACCTCCTAGCGATAAAACATCAGGTAACGTGAAAGAAGTGGAGTTAACAACGCCAAGGCAATCTTGCAAAAGAAGTGAAACTAAACTCAAACTCATTGTAATAACCACATAAATAAGAGCGCAGTTGTTGGAATCTCGAACTGATTGGATAAAGAGATTTTTAGGGGTATTTTAACCTTGGTTTGGAAAGGAGACGAAGGAAAATATTGGAAAAGAAAAAATAACGAGGAATTGTCAATTTTCTTTCTATAGATATTTTTTACTTTTTTGTCTGGATATAATAATGAAAAAAAAATAAATTTATTTTTCTTTGTTTGGAAAGGGTAAAGTTTTGTTAATTAATTTAAGTACTTGGATAATTTAATAAAATTGAGTGAAAATCTCACCTTTCTTTATTATTATTTTTTAAGTAGGAGAGATTCAAAACATGTGGGCTTCAATGGAAAATAAATGAAATATTACTTTCTTCAATATTTTCCTCCTCTTTTGGTATTATTTGGAATGTTTATATTGGGATAATGATAATTGTATTAAGATAAGAATTGTGAAAACCATTTATTATTTATTAGTTAGGTTTACTTAGAAGTTTAATATCTTGTAATATATATTTATTGATTTTTTATATTTTTATTATTGTATATATGCAATGGACTGGTTAACTTCACCTCACATCAATGTATTCACTGCACTGGCTAACACATATGTCAGTTGCCACCCTAGCTAAGAAACGTTATCCTTCAATCACTGCTCAAATTTTGATAGGCGATAACACCTCTCCTTCTAGGGGCGGACAAACTTCAGTTTTAACCGAATAATTCGGTTTGATAACTGAATTGGTTGATTGAATGTCGACGAAAAATAAGAATTTTTCAGTTTTTTTTAGGAATACCAATATGCCAAAATAATTGGATTAGTGTTTAGATCGGTTCAAACCAAAAAAATGGAACCAAACTAATACGGTTTTAGGTTTATTTAATTTGATTTTTCAGCTAAATAAATTTCTTTAGAAGGTAAATTTTGTGAATTCTGTTATTTTGACTCATTTTTTTTTTTATTTCAATTCAATTCAATTTGGTTTTCCATATTGATTCAGTTTTGTTCAGTTTCTGTATTTTTAATTTTTTTAATCAGGGTGATTTGATTCAATTTGGTTGAATCTAATTCTCACCCCTATTTCCTTGGACCAAAATTTTCTTCTTAAATGTAATGATGTGTTCATATCAAAGGATCACTAACTAGTCTAATCATAAAAGGCATATCAACTTGGAATGTTGAAGCTAAAGTGCTTAACGCAATTATGCTCGTTCTATTAGAGACAACGTCCTGTTTTTCCATTTCAGAAAAGATGGTCAACCCTTATTCCTTCGTATCAAGGGTCTTTTATTTTCTTTTTTTTTTTTTTTTCATATTGGAGATATAAATTTTTCTTTTTTTAATTTGGCCCCCTTAATTTTTAAAAATTTTTTCTAGGCCCCTTAATTTTGATGTGTGCTCTGTCCTTGGATACATAGCAAAGTAGCAGTAGTAGTAGTAGTAAATAGAGCTTGTATAAGAACAATGAGAAGGAAATGAATTTTCTTTATCTTTAGCACTACAAATGAGTTCCTAATCAAGATTTGTCTTCAAATGTCTTAAATTCATAGCATTAAGGAGGGGTTTTATAAATGAATAATGAAATCTCCTCCTATAGTACAAGTATTTCGCATGCATATTTCTCATCACTAACTATGCATTCCTAAGAAAATAATTACAGAATCACCGTTCTTACACTAATGCTCATACACATCACTATTACAACAACAATAAACTCACTAATGATTTTACAATATTAAATAAATAGAGATATGACATATATTTAGTAGAGAAACAATCAGCATGAACTCAAGGATTTGTGCTTGCTTGGCAGCAATTTTATGCAGCTTACCTCACTAATGAAGCTTGTTGATATGCTCGATGCGCATCCTGTCTTGGATGAAGAGGAGAACGATGTTGCAAAGTTTGCTGGCCATGGTGGTGAATTGTAGGACGATTAGAACGAACTCTAGGCTCTCTTGGCCTTTCATTATTTGCTTCAATCCTTTCTAATGTCTCCACAACTTCTTTCATAGATGGTCGATTCTTGGGTTCAGATTCGATACAATTTATTGCAAGCTGAGCTATTCGAAAGGCTGCTTTTGAAGGATATTTCCCCTCTAACCGAGAATCCATAATGTTCTTCAACTTTCTTTTATCATATAAAAATGGTTTGATCCAGTCCACTAGATTATGTCTCCCACTTGGACGGTTTGTATCGAGTGCCCGCAAGCCCGTCAAAATCTCAACCAGGACAACACCAAAACCATACACATCACTTTTTACATATAAATGCCCTGTTTAATCACCAAAATGTTACTATTGCAGCAAGGTTCCCAAATGTACCATTTGGCTCAAGCAGCAATGAAGTTTGAGCAATACTTGATTTAAATGTAATGCTTGAGCCAAATCATCAATTTAGAGCATCTGAAATTGAAGGAAGGTTCAGAGATTACCTGTTGCCACGTACTCGGGAGCGGCATAGCCATACGTGCCCATCACCCTTGTTGTCACATGAGATTGACTAGCCGAAGGCCCCAACTTTGCCAAACCAAAATCTGAAATCTTGGCTGTGTAAGACTGCAATAAGACAAATTGGAACAAGTAAGATGACATTTATCTTTTCACTAACATCTTCTAATTGAAAACATCCTATGACCAATAGTTTTAGCACTTCCCTCCATTTCCAAAAGGTAATGGAAAAAGGGAAAAAGAGAGAGGATACAGGATGGAGGAAGTAACTAGGGTAAATGCAGGAAAGAAAATGGAATGTCAACCCAGTATGAAGGCATAAATATGACAAATAATATGTTGTTATCTTATATATAACATTAGGGTTTGGTATTTCATAAAGAACCTACCCCATCAAGCAGTATGTTTGAGGCCTTAAAATCTCTGTAAATGACTTGCTTGTCAGAAGTGTGCAAGAAAGAAAGGCCTCGTGCTGCACCTATAGCAATTTTGAGCCGTATTTCCCATGGAAGTGGCTGAACAGTTGAACCCCCTGCAACAATTAAAACACAATGTATAACGAAACTTAAAGGAACATATATATACACATGCACATGCATATTTGCACAAAGGACAATTAATTCAATCAAAATTATTTATTAGCTCTTACTTCCAAATAGATGGTTTTCTAGGCTTCCCTTTTGCATGAATTCATAAACTAGAAGAAGCTCCTTGTCCTCCCAGCAGTATCCTATCAGCCTTACAAGGTTAGGATGAGAAAGCCTTCCCAAGAAATTTACCTCTGACTGCAAAAAAGAAGGGACAGATCTGAAGCTAAATAAAATTTCACAAAAAAAAAAAAAAAAAAAAAAAAAAGATCAAAAAAGAATATGGACAGATCTGAAGCTAAATAAAATTTCACAAAAAAAAAAAAAAAAAAAAAAAAAAAAAAAAAAAAAAAAAAATTTGTGAATGACAACAAATTTTTGATGATGCTCCAGCTAAAGTGTTGGTCAAGCTAATTATATACATGTGCATGTGCATACGGGCATGTAGCATTCCACATGAACTGGCACACACATTTTTGTTTATGGATGTGTGTGTTTGAGAGAGAGAGAGAGAGAGAGAGAGAGAGAGATTCAAAAAGGTCTAAGTAAAAAGAGAAATAAGAAAAGTATAGCTTCATTGGATGCAAAATAATTATGCTGCGTGATGTTGATTGTCTTCTAATGGGGTCTGATGCATTAGAGTGATGCCTCCACAAGGAGCAAAAAATTAATTAATTCAGTTGTTGTCAACTGGTCGAGCCTTCATTCTGATCCTCAAGATATATAGTCATAAACAGAGTTTGCTTTTCTAATATGACCATGACTTTTACTCATTTATACAAAGTAGCCAAGATGTCTGTGCTAGAGCATATTCCTCTAAATTGTTGAAAGCTTGAATCTCGGTAGCTGCCTCCATATTAATCAAATTTAAGATAGAGCTGGACCTATGTGTCAAGCCGCTCATTCAACACCAGTAGTCTTTCAAATTAAACAGTGAATGAAAGAGACAAACTTCTTATTAAACCCTCACATCCAAGCTTGAGAGTTTATGTTGAGTAATTCATTTACAGTCTTAAATGTGTTTTTTTAATATCTTAATATTGGAAATGGATTTGCCTTTTGTTCTTTGCTTTTGGACGTTCTCATTTTGGGGGAGTTGTGAAGATATAAGGCAATTAAGGATAGATGAAATTGAAGAGTGATGGAACACATTCCACCGACCAAAATAATATAACAACATCATGCATAAAATGATACAAAAGCAAAACGAGTATTAGAAAATATGATAAAATGAAAGATAAAAGCTATAAGATACTGGGGAAGCGTACAGAAGCTTTTCAGCTCTTTTTTCAATATGATTCTGATTCTTTTGTTAATTGTTATCATCAGCCGTCACTTTATTTTTTTCCATTACCATGCTTCTGTCCCTTATGGGGAAAAGGTAGTCCATGGATAAATTAATATAAGAGGAGCCTCACAACAACCCAAGAAATTAAAGTTTAATGAAATAAAACTATGCTCTTGAAATTTGCAGAACTCTGTTTTTCTTACTTGAACATATGCAACAATCTGGGTTGACTGTACAGTATAAAAGAGTAACAATATTTGGATCAACAGAAGAATGGTTTATCAGTTTTTCTTTTAGTAATCTCACAGGGCAGAATTACTGCTGGTCAGCTTTTGTGCAGCCTATGAAGCCCAAGTCTCCTATATGGATTTTAAATATATGCCAATCCAAATACCCAATGAAAGGACCTGCTTCCTTCAATTTTTTCCCAGTTAACAATGCTTAAAACTAGAAGAGCGTTTAAATATCATTTAAACTGATCCAGTTCCACTTTGCATATAATTAGAGTAAAAGCAGTTACTGAACATATCAAATCCCTTACCCTCCCATTTGAGAACAAAATAGAAAACTACAATTTAAGATGAGCTAGAAATCTACTGCATTTCAAACTATCAAACAATTATATCAAATGCAATGGAAAGCAAAATGCAGACTTTCTAATTAGGTTGAATTACCTGCCATTCTTCAAATCCTTGGAAGCTCTCAGAATTCAATTTTTTGACAGCAATTACATTTCCACTTCCACTCTTCCCAGTGGATCTCTCATCAAGCCAACCCTTGAAGACTTTACCAAAACCACCCTCTCCTAACACAGTATCAGGTCTGAAATTCCTGGTGGCAGCCTTCAGTTCTGCAAAAGAGAATATCCTCAAGTTGGGGATGGGCAAGATCTGCCCATTTGGGAGGGCCTCATCACCACTTACTACAGAAAACTGGCTGTTCCCAGAGACATTGCTGCCATGAGAAGCTGTATTGCTGCTCCGAGAAGATACCGTGTTGCTGCTCCGAGAAGATGCTGCATTGCTAGTTGTATGAGAAATTCCTGCAGTGATTACAGAATTGAATTAACACACATTCAAGTCAAAATGGAGGAAATTTGAAAATGATAAAGAGAAAAATAAAAGGGAAATAATCTATTTATTTAAATTATGATAAGAGGACATAATGAATACGGTAATATTCATGCAAGAAGATGAAAAGCATAACAGAAACACCCATATTGCAATAGTCAATCAATATAACCAATAGAAGCAAAAGCTATAAAGTTATTTTAATATAACTGGAATATAAAAATATTTGTAGAGAATTAAATTAAAAAGATGAGATCACAGAATTAGATTGTGAATAATATATTGTTAATTAATAAAAGGAGGAATTTCTAGTATTGATTACAAGACAAGATCACATTCAACTCATTCTTAAAGTTAGATAACTTATTCAGAAATTAAACAGCAAAAATAGAAACAGAACACTTAGAACAGCAGAATTTGAAATTATATCACTTCAATATCAAGTTAGAAAAGATTTCAAAAATCTCATTAACTAGAACCAAAACAACAAAATCCACATAAGAAAGTTTGAATAAATTAGATCAGCCAAACAATTAATGAAGAAAGCAAGAACCTACACATACTTGCAAACCATATGAAAAAGTTACCTGAACTAATTTGACCAGTAGTATTAGGCGTAGCTGTAGTTGTATTAGCAGGTGGAGAACCCCAGCAATTCCCCATCAGAAGAAACCTGTTGGAATTTATACAGACAAAATAAAGACAACACCAATTCTTGTTGTAACTATATCCAGTTCTCACGGATTCAATATGTCCTAAACTCAAATTGATTATCTGGGTTTTTCAAAACTGGGGCTTTTTCTGCACTTTCGGCAACCTTTTCTTGTTCAAACCCATTAAAGCAATCTCTCTCTCCACTACCTGAAAGTCTTATTTCTGTGCTTCAAAAAGAAAGGTCTTACTTTTGTTTGTGAACTATTATGGAGAAGACTTTTTTGGTAGTAATAATAAAGAAACCATTTTCATGGAAATGAAAGAAGACTACTAGATGAGATGACCGAGTCTATTGTGTTGTTTTTGTCTGTTATAAAAAGTACCAAAAGGGTACTAACTATGAGCTTTCGCTCTCATTCAGCAGAAGAAAGCAATGGACATATGGAAGGCTATTCCAAGTCAACTGCCGTGTTGATGGAAATCGTCTCTTCTTTAGTTGGTCAAAGAGGTAGAATTCAAAGCCAAGAGGAGGGCAAAGCCAAGAGGAGGGCACATGCATGTCACTATATAAATATTTTTATTTTTATTTTTATTTTTTTAATTTGGAGAATATTTTTTATTCAACCTATGATTATGAAATTGTTCTTATCTATTTTTAAAATTTGGCGTTGATTATGTGTACGTTGATATATAAGTTTTTGTACTTTATTTCTTGAAGGGATATAGATATATGATTTTTTTCAAACATTTTTGTTAGTGGTCGTTATTATAATAATTAAATTTTACATTTTGAATGCTACAATATTTTTTATTAGTATTTTTCATTTATTTAAGAGAAAAATTAAAAACAAATTAATGGAATTATTTAACTATGAGTTGTGATTCAGTTGACAATACATATTCGAAGAAGAGCGAGAAGTCTTAATTGTGATTAAGTTTCAAACCGGATTAAACTGCCATTGATAATAGGTCCGGATACCAGTGGTGTATACCAAAAAAATTAATGGCAATTATTTAATTATTAAAAATATTTTATTTATTGTCTTCTTCTCAATATTTAATTAGTAAAATAACACTTTTTGATGAAATAAAAGAACTAACTAGTTTAATGAGTTAATAATATAAAGACATTTTAATGTACTAGTATTAATAACGTGCACTGCACCTTAAGACTCATTGTACTTGATTTTTATTCTTATTTTTAAATATGGTTGATTGAGTTTTTTATAATATAATAAAAATGATAATAAGTCATTGAGTAAAAAAAAAAATATTAATTTAGTGCTTTATTTAATATTTTAGTGTAAATAATATATATGTGCAAGATGAATGAATATTGTTAAAGAAAAAATCAAAATGGAATGAAAATAGAACTTTATGGTTGACACAATAAGTAAAATAAAAATAACAATAACTCAATCAAAATGATATCTTTTAGATTAAGACGTAAAATGATGACAAGGAAAGTTTTTGAGGTAAAATAATAATAATCTCTATCAAAGAAACATAAAATTTATATGGTGATTTTTTTTATAAGAATTAAATATTTATATTGGTAATTTATAATAAATTGGTATTTTAATAAGATTGCTAATTGAGTTATATGATAACTTATAAATAATTCATAATTAAGATAATTCATAATAAGATTCCTCACATGCCTTATATTCTACTATTGGAAGTACAATAATAAATTTAAATAATAAGTAACGAATTTTTAATTCTTTTAGTTGAATTATTTTTACTCACTCTATTTTATTTAGATAGGAAAAGTTTCAATTTTTGCTGTTCTATTTAGATAAAAAAAATTACCCTTTGAGAATAGTGCGAATTTGAAAAGACTATTTTGTTCTTATTTAGTTTCTAAAATAATGAAATAGTGACAGACAAAGACTTCGAAATGCATTTAATGATATTATTTTACCGAAAATCATCCTTGATAAATTTACATGGACGTTTTTGTAAAATGAGCAGTAAAAAATGAATTGGATAACGATTGCAAATAGAGGTTAGTCAATTTATTTCTGACACACGAGAAGTTCATAATAAACAAGAAAGGAATTGAACAACACTGAATTTGTGAACATGTTTTCAATTTTTATCTCTTATTTTTTTATGCATGTCTAAGTTATTGTCATTTAGAAAATATTAACCCAAAAAAAATGCAAACAAGTATACATAAATTGAGAGCACATTTACATCAACTTGGCACTTTTATAAAACTTGAAAATAACTTTATATTAACAATGGATAAATGAGACTGTAATAATAAAAATTTAGACATATGTTAATAGAAAGCATATAGTAATGAAAATATGCGAACATATTATACAAGTAAGCACGTAAAGTATTCATAAAATCTGCCACAAACAATTATACGATTGACATATTCTAAGGAATCTGAGTCACTAAACATCAATCTATAAATAAATTTATAATTGGATGTTACACTGCTGCTGCTAAATTTTAGAGTATACTTAAATCATATTAGGCAAATTTCCACTTCTAATTAATGTTCTTAGACATGGCAAGTTCACTTATTGAGTAATGCAATTTGAAATTAATATACTCATTTCTCTCGCGTCTATGTGTTTCCTTACATAGAAATACAAATAGGAGTTAATGTTATGTTAAGGGCATTTAGGAAAAGAATAACTAAAAATTACATTTACCTGTTACATTAATTCTTAAGTAAATTCAGTTTTTTCTATGAAATTAAAATGGAGGAAGTATTATTTCTTTAGAATTGTCTATTTTAAAAGTTAGGTAACATAGCTAGGTTAGTCATAAATATCAACTTATCATTCATTATTTAATCATTTTATTATTTTATTAATAATTTTTATTTGAACTTTCTAGTAACTTAAATTAATATAAAATAATTTTTATAATATTCTATCAATTGACTTAAAATATTTCCTCTTATTTCCGTTTCAATTTGTTATTCTTGTTTTATTTATTAATTTCAGTTGTTATTGATATTTTTATTTTGCTAAAAAATACTATGATTCATTAAAATATTAATTTTTGTTGTTATGATAATAAAGTACTAAACAAATTATTTTATTTTTAAAAAAATATTAGAATCTGAATTGAGTTAAAATATTTGCCCTCTTTTTCAATATTAAACTTTTTAAATAAATTCAACATTAATTTTTATTTTTGTTAATCTAATTCTTCTTACACTTGCCGCATAAATAGAAAAAATTTCGTAATAAAAAAAATTTTTGTTCATCAGTGAGATGTTCGTAATATTTTTTTTTAAAAAAAATACTTGTTATAATGATCAATTTTTTTTTTTTTTTTTTAAAAGATAGAGGGACAAGACTCCACTCCATGAAATTAAACACAACAAGGGCTTGTGTTGCCATTAGATGAGCAATCCTAATCGTTGACCTTTTTACAGAACAGATAGAACTATCAACAAGTTCTCTTAACCATGTCAAAAAAAAAAAAAACACGTTCTTTTAACAAACATTGGCAATCTAAAATATCAGAGCTAAAATGAAACGACCTGAAAAATTTTCGTTTAAAAATTTAATTGAAAATTTTAACCAATGAAATTTAGCAAAAAAAAATTTATTATTGCTAAATCAAACCTGTAAACTAGTTTGAATTTTACGAAACCAAGTCAAAAATAAATCAAGCAAGAACCAAATTAGACCACTGAGTTGGATCAAATCGATTCGAATCGAACCAGAATAGTCTAGAAACCCCAGATTTTTTTCTTTTCTTCTTCTTCCTCCTCTTGCCCGCACAGCTCACCTCTCTCCCTTTCCCTCTGTTTTCCGGCCACCGGCCATGTAATTCGACAACCAAGCACTCAAACTTCAAGTGCTCGATGAGTGGAACCCATCCATGGTCTCGTTCATGTAGCAAACGCCTGAAGCAAGAGAGATCGCGCTTGAAAGTGTTGCACCCTATCGATTCCTTTTTCCGGCGATCCACGCCGTTTCTGGCGGTTTTAGGTCATGAAGTGAGCGCCAATCGATCCCTTCCCTCCACGCGATCATTTTCCCACAAATAATTTCGGTGATGGGAAATGGGGGACAAAACCACCATGAGCGGTGGAGATACAGCGACTTTCGGCTCGATTTCGGCCACATGAGCAACTGGCTCTGCGAACGGACGGTGGACTTGAACTCCTCATGAAATTTCGAGTCGGGTGGTGAAATCCTTGCAAAGTTATGGGCAAGCTCGACTCTACGACCATCTTGAACGGCGATGGAGGCAGCGGCAGCCGTCCGGTGATCGACTGTCAATACTCCGGCGAAGTCCCAGGAGGCAGAATCATCTTCTCCTCACGCAGATTGTGGAATCATAGTCCGATTTTTGATTGGTACGCTCTAAGACATAGTTCTTTATTTTTGGTATAAATTTCAAATTTAAAATTATTGGTTGATTTAGTTGATTATGATCAAACAGTTAATTGAAGGACTTTGAAATGTTACGCAGAATGTTGGATTTGTCACGTGGATTTCGAATATGCAATTAGAATTGTTTAGCTACTTAATTCTATATATGTGGAAACATAGTTAATAAACTATGAAGTAATGCAAATTTGGTACATAGGCTTCTAAGTTGAAAAATCACAGAAATGGATGAGTTGAGCTATTCACTATAAAGAGAAAAAGAACTATTTGTAATTATCAAGCCTTTTGATAAACTAAGAATATGATGTTAGTTGGTATTAATTATGAATTGAGTAAATGTTTAGATGAATAAATAATGGTTATGGTGAACGAGGTTAGTTGTTGTGAATTGCCCGATGGATGAGCTATGATAATTTATTTTTGAATTGTGGTTTTAAGCAGGTGGTTAAATCCAATTTTTAGAGGAGGTTCTGTCGAAATTTCGACAGAATCCACATTAGCCTTACTTGTAAATAGATTGTAGGATTTATTCAAGATAATCTTTTATTCTTATTCAGGAGAGTACTATTCAATTCTTTTCTCCCCTTTGAATTTCCATTTCGTTTAGATCGTTCTAGTTGGTTCACTGATTCGATAAGTTAGAATCGAAATTTGAGTCTTTTTCCATCTAGTATAGTAAATAATAATAAATAGTGCCTTACGATTTGCATCATACATAAAATCATTACTATACAGAGCTTTGTCTCTATTTATTTATTTATTTGTATTATTTACTTGTTTATTTTCAAATACCACCTATGATATTATATTATTATTTGATGCTCTTATATTCACTTGAGTTGTTATATGAATGTCTATTTGCGCTCTTGCATGATAGTGTTTAATTGTTTAATATGTTTGCATTTAATTGCAATATTTGATTATTTGTGTTGTGAGTATATTTGCCTTGTTTACGTGGAATTGGGATGAAGTAGGTCACCATGGGTTTGTTTGTTGAGGCAGTCTTCGACCATCGGCAATGTATGGTGAGAGCAGCGCACCCGTGTGGCATCTGATGATTGGATTTATATGAAAAATCAAACAAAAGGGTTGACTTCGTTGTATGAAAGAAAAGAGATCTATTAAATACTAAAAAAAAATGAATATATGAGGTGCGATTGCCTGCTGAAGGTGAGGGATCAAATCCAATCAATGACGCGTCTCAGTGCCATAACTGTATTTCGTGGGCGGCTTCGTGCATCCTTTGACTTCGCCAGCCTGCGGTTCTTTATCTATGAGCAGTAACTATGCGGACGCTCACGGCTTGACTAATTCTACCATGTCTTTGATCTTACCTGCAGCATGTAGAATTCACCTGCGTAATCTAGAATGTCTGATGTCACCGCTTATTCTCACTTAGATCGGCCATATGTCTTGACTCGCAGCTGTATGTTCATTCTTTGTACTTTAGGAAGCCATCTTTATGTGAACTGGTGTTGCTGTGTATGCAATATTACTATTCATTATTATTACTCTCATTTCTTTGTTTAACTTTTCTAAGGAAGTAGATACTTTTTTGTTGATCACGATTATCAAGTTCTGTCTCTTTCTCCTGTTTGTACCTAGAAAGTAAGCTTTTAGACGGTTATGCAGCTATTTAAATTATGTTACGCTATATGTACTAAAACTTATTTCATATTTTATCTATAGTTGAATTCAGAGTTGTGGAGGGATTGTAAACCCGAAGGATTGTAACCGGATTAAACTGAGGGAGATGATATTTAGTTATTATTTATGTTGACTGCATGGACCGTTTAGCCCATATAGATATAAATTATTTATTTTGATAAAATTGGGCCCGGAGCTATAGGTAATGCTTTAAGCATGCTAGATTGGGCCAACAGTACAATCTAATTATGGAGATTTTTTTTTTGTTATGGCAATATGTGCTAATTTTTGAATTCTATTATTATTTGCATTTAATTGCAATATTTGATTATTTGTGTTGTGAGTATATTTGCCTTGTTTACGTGGAATTGGGATGAAGTAGGTCACCATGGGTTTGTGAGGCAGTCTTCGACACCATCGGCCATGTATGGTGAGATCAGCGCACCCGTGTGCATCTGATGATATGGATTATATGAAAAATCAAAGGGTGACCTCCTGTTGGTATGGAAAGAAAAGAGATTATAAAAAAAAAAATGAGAGGGTTGGTTAAGTGAGGATCAAACCAATCGGCCATGTATTGGGGATCGGCTCCCTAGTGCACTCGTCATGAGAGGATGGGCCACTGACCAATTTCCACTTGCTTGATTACCTGAAGGTGTAATTACTTATAGATGCTGATGTTGTGCCATATGTTTGACCGGCTGTATGTTCATTTTAGTACTTTAGGAAGCATTTTATGTGAATGGTTGTGTTATGCAATAATTACTATTCATTATTATACTCTCATTTCTTTGTTTAACTTTTTCTAGGAAGTAGATACTTCTTTGTCACGATTAAAGTTCTGTCTCTTTCTCCGTTGACCTAGAAAAGTAACTTTTAGAGTTAGCAGTTATTTAAATTATGTAGCTATATGTACTAAAACTTATTTATATTTATCTATTAGTGAATTCAGAAGTTGTAGGATTGTAACCGAGGATTGTAACCGATTAACTGAGGTGGATGTTTAGTTATTCATTTATGTGAATGCATGGACCAGTTAGCCCATATTATAAATATTTATATTATAATTGGGCCCGAGCTATAGAATGTTTAAGATGCTAGATTTGGGCCAAAGTACAATATAATTATGAGATTTTTTATTTATGGCAATATGGGCTAATTTTTTGGAATTCATATTATTATGGTTGAATTTTTGTGCTTCAAGCTTACTGCGGGCGTTAGGGACCTTATGCTAATTAGGGTCCTAGTTCAGGTTCGACCCATACTTTCGGGTCGTGACATAAAATAAGACTTATCTAAACTATTTTTATGCATAGCTTGAACCAGCAGGAGAGAGTTAGTCTCAAAAAGTATCTTCTGAAGACCATTCTATTTTATCCAGCTTAAAGCCTCTCTAAGGGAAAGGGCTTCTGCAAGGTATACTGATTGTACCATGGGCAGTAGCTTCTGGCACGCAAAGAGGTAATTCCGACTTGCACCTATCTAAGAAGAATTGGGATGCATAGATGCATTTATATTACACTTTAGAAAATCAATAATAGGTTTGGTCCAAGTGATGGAACCGTGAGGACCAGTAATAGGCTGAGTAAGAGTCTTGCATTGGGCCGCTTACCATATGAAAAATCACACTGGAGCATTATGTAGCTGCAAGTCAGTAGGGACACGAATCCCTGTCCATAGGACTGAGTTCCTATTCTTCCATATGAGGCATAAATACAAACAAAATAACTGAGCTTCATATAAATTCAAAGCTTGGAACACTTTCTTTACCCACTCATTCATCGAAGATCCCCCCTGCATGTCAAAAATACCAGCAACCTTAAGGCATTGATCTTGACAAACATCCCTTGTAAACACACAATCAACAAAGGTGTGTAACAGAGACTTTGAGACACCACCACAGACCGAACATAAGTTGGGTACCTCCAACCCTCTAGAAATCAGTCGCTCACAAGTGGGAAGACAATTGCTAACAATACGCCATACCAGATGTTTGACCTTTGGGGGGATGAGCATACCCCATAGTTGTTGCCAAAAAATATGCATCTCCGCTGGTGAAGCAGTAGGATCCCCTGACATTAGTGCCTTATATGCACTCCGTATAGAATAAGTTCCAGATTTCTCCGGTAGCCATAACCAGTCATCTTCACCGGCATTAGGACACAAAGGAATAGACATGTTGCAATTAGCATTTCTTTGATTAAACAACGAGAACACTACATCCCTCTTCCAACAATTCCCAGTTTCTGATATTAAAGAATTAACATAATGATAGTCACAATCAGAGGGAACATGAAACCTTCGGATTTTGAGGATCCATGAGCCATGCATCGTGCCAGATAGATACTGAGTACCCCTGCCTATCTTTCTGTCTGCGATTGGACAAGAGGGAGAGCTGCTCGAAAACTACTCCACACAGTACTTGGGTTGGAACCCAATTTCACCTGAAATAATGAGCAACAAGGAAAATATTTGGCTTTATATAGTCTCGAAACAAGAAAATCTGGAAAAGTCAATAATCACCAAATTTGTTTTCCCAATGAAGCTATATTAAATTGGTGTAGCCGACGGAAATTTAACCCTCCTTTTAGCTCTGTGCAACTCAGAAGCTCCCATCTTCTCCAAATAATGCCTGAGTTCGCAGTATTTCCGTTAACCCATAGCAACTTATTCATCATTCTCTCAATCTCAGTGCAAATCGTAACCGGCAAAAAGAATACCCCCATAACATAAGTCGGAATTACCTATAGGACAGATTTAATGAGAACTTCTTTCCCGGCACGAGATAAAAACCGAGATTTCCAACTGATGTTCCTTCGCCATATCTTATCCTTTATAAAGGAAAATATTTCTCTCTTATTTCGACCGATTAACGAGGGAAGCCCCAAGTAGGATCCTAAGCCTGTGGTACAAGGAATTGAGAAAAACAAATAATATGCTCGTAAAATAATAAAAAGTATAATAAACATTTTAAGATAAAAAATTGAATTTATTTTTAAATACATATCTTCCATTTTGAAAATTATTAAAATAGAATAAATACGAAATTGATTAGATCAAATTTGCGGCATTAAATAGTATTTATCCTTTATATTATAGTCTTTATAAATGATATTTAATTATTGATTTAATATATTAATTGTTTCATAGACCAATTTAGGCAAGTATTTTCTAAGTAACTAATTAGTTTTTATTTTATCCAACAAATATTACCTTTTCTTTTACGAGGGAGATGGATGTATAACGTTTAGTACTTTTGTTAACGCTAATCATAATAATTAAAATTTGCATTTTCATAGTACAATGTCTTTGCGTATTGGCATTTTTATTAATTATTTTTTAATTTTTTTATAAATTTAAAATTTGTCGTATCATGGTAAAAGCATAAGAGTTAAATTATTTTACAGAATATTAGAATGAAAATATTTATTATTTTCATTTTTTTTTTTACAATTGTGCAAATCTAGTAAAGTCTCATAAGAATCTTTGTAAGGGACTTAAATATATGAGGATGTGCCCAGCCGAAGTGTTATTTAATTATAGTAAAAATAACTTTATATTATATAGTTAAGCTAAATTAATAATCATTTTTTATTTATTTTAAATGTTAAATTATGTCTTTTAAAATGTATTAAATTATTCAATCCACTTAAACGTTGGTTATCAAACTTTTAGTTATAGGTAATACCCCTATAACTTTTTTATATTAAATTCATTTTTAAAAATTTTTTTGATTGAAAGCTTAGTTAACATTTATTTTTTTTAATATATCAAACTATACAACTTAAAGAAATATTTAATTTTTTTTGGAAAGAAGAAATATTCAGATTTAATTGTTCTCAAAAAGAAATTAACCAAATTTTCTTTGACGTATAAAAATATCAAAATACTTACAAATAATTTACAAACTATGGTTTTTTTAGTAAAATTTAAGAAACATAGATCCTTTTTGAAAAACGAATATTCAACCTTGGTATGTCAAATAATAATAATAATAATAATAATAATAATAAAAAGTGAATTTTATGGCTTATTTTCACTTGTAGTTCTCAATTCAAAGGATAATCACTTTATTGTCCTAAAACTTTATTTTATTACTTAAAACCTGCTGAGTTAAATTTTGTAACAAAAAAATCCATCTGACCATTTTCCAGCGATGATACGCACTAGAAAGCTGACATGGCTTAAACAAACATACAACTCATAATTTTTTAATCCACATCAGTCCCAGGAGACGGAATTTTCTCTACCCTACCTAGACAAATTAACAATTAACAGCATTGTGTGTCCATTCTTTCTCCTGCTCTGAACAAAGCACGAAATCAAGGCAAAGCAAAGAAAAAAACAGCCCTGAATGTGATAAATTTACTAGTCGAAATCCGCGCTTCCCGTTATTTATAAGGTACATTATATGTTGTTCCATATTTCAATCTGGCACAGTTTCTCGCCATATTCTTTTGTCTATAAGGATTAAAAATGAAAAAGGTTAAGACAAGCAATTGGAGTAATATATATATGTTTTGCTTAATCAAAACCTCATACATATATATATATGAACATTCACAAGCCATTCTTGATATCAGGCCATGTATTATGAATATATAAATAGTTACGATTACACAAATTATAAGAAAGTCTAGCCCTTAAAAATGCAGGTTTTCTTCTTCATTCAAATATGTAAACTGAATCAAACGAACTTGTTACATGCAGTGTCAAATGAATCAATTAATTTATAAACTGAATTTCCACTTATGATGCTTAAAAGACTCTTTTCAATGAAATAATAAGATGCAATAAACTAAACAACGTTAAATTTCAATTGGAACCTGTGCAATCATTTTGAACACCTTCAACTGTCACTTTGTTGTTTTGCAAGCTTTCACGATGGCTCTCTGTAGCAGGCTCAGAGCTACCTTAAATTTGCATCTCCTGTTAATATCTACAGAGGTCAAACTTCTAAATGAAACATAATTATAATTAATAAACTTCTTGGTACGTATAATGACTGCCTTGTCTGTGATAGTTGCCGCAAGAAAAGTTTGTTAAAATCGTACCTGATACTTCTTGGAGGAAGAAAGTGGATAATTAGAAATAGCAGCAGCTTGAGGAAAGACGCAAAAACATAAAAAGCTAAAACAAAATTATTAATGGGGGGTAACCATGGAATTAAACACAATTAATCAATAAGAAAAAGAAGAAGAAAAAGTTGAATTACCTTTGTATTAGCACATTTATATTAAAACCTAACAAAAATAAATCAGATTTGGGTATAAAAAAGTTAAAATAAAATCATTAATTAATTAAAGAATAATAAAAACTAGGTAACCACGCAAATAAAAAAAAGAAGAAAAAGAAAAAATTGAATTACACACCACGCTTGAATCCAGTTGAGCCATGGATGGTAAGTAATATCAATAGGAAAGGCAGAAGAAGATGGTAGATGGTGGACTGACGATTTGTAGAATGGAAGTCTGGTTATTTGAGATTGAAGAGAGAAGGAAGTGGCCTATCCTTACTCATATGATTGATTATTAAGATAAATATAATCGTATATACTTAAAAAATTAGTCAAACAAATATAAGAAAATAAGTTAGACAGTGGTGAGTGCAAGGAAACCAACGAAAAGCATAAAATATAAAAGAAGATGCAACAACAGAATATATACAAAAAACATAAAATATAAAAGAAGATATAACAACAGAGAATATACGTGATGGAAGCCAGGAAATATGCAGCGGAAACTATCCAAGATCGAAATAAGTACGAAAGCAAACTACATACAAATCACATAAGAATTAATCTGTTGTAGTACAAATTCACTCACTGGTATACTTTCCAGATATCTTCAAGTCATCCTACAGCCTTTTGTCCTGTGACCTTAATTGATTCTATGAATCCTATTTTTCTGAGTGGGCATAAAAACACAATAAGTTTGTTTTTCTAGAGAGATTATTGCGTTTTTTCTGAATACTATGTTATCTCTAACGCGTACTCAAAAAACCAATAACCTCTCTTATCCGCTTGGGACGCATACGATAAGATT